ACCTGGCTGGAGATCCTGGCTAGAGGAACCTGGCTATGCTGATCAACTGAATGCTGGCCCTGTGTCCTTCCTTCTTCACCGACTCCATCCACACCTTTGGGGACCCCTGGACCTGCTGGGGTTGGACCCCAGCACAGCAGAATCTAATTTTGTTTGGTATAATTAAGTACCTATACAAACTAACTCACCAGATAAATCAGCATGTTAATAGTTGAATTATAAATGATTTGTGCTCTCATTTTGTGGAATTACCAGATAAACACGCAACATTTTTTCTGCAACTATCTTGCAGACACTAAGAATAAGGCTAATAAAATCTCTCTGCCATCCTGCCAATATGAGGAGGAAAACAAAAGAATCCTTGATGACACTGAGCTAAAGAATTAGCCAGTTTGGCTCAGTAGATAGAACGTTGGCGTGTAGACTGAAGGGTCCCAGGTTGATTTCAGTCAAAGGCACATGTCTGGGTTGTGGGCTCGATCCCCAGTAGGGGGCGTGCAGGAGGCAGCCAATTAATGATTCTCTCTCATCATTGATGTTTCTATCTCTCTCTCCCTCTCCCTTCCTCTCTGAAATCAATAAAAATATTTTTTTCTAAAAAGAATTAGCCAACCCTGGGCAATCCTACTTTAGAGTTTCTTGTGATATAAAATAATGTTCTCTAATATTTAAATCCAATTGAGTTTTATTACCTACAGTCAAATACATTCTAAATAATTTAACTTTTATATGAGGAAAAGAAAGAATAAGTTTCAAAAAAAGAGTCTTGATTAAACTTAAAAGTAACAATTTGTAGTAATACTCCTAGTCAAATAGACAAAAAAAAATTTATTAGGGTAACTCAAATAATTAAGGCTATTTTCTAAACTAATCCATTAATTTACAGCTGATTGTGTTACTCATTAAAATGTTATCTGAGAAACAGTCTAGTTTGCCCTTCCCACATGGCAATTATATTTTAATCTGTATTAGTCTGTTCAGACTGCCATTAACAAAAATACCAGACAGAGATTTAAACAACAGAAATTCTAGAGACTGGAAAATTCAACATTAGGATTGTTTCTTGTGAGAGGTCTCTTTCTAGCTTGCTGTGTCCTCTCACATTGCGAACAAAAATTGATCTCTGATGTCTCGTCTTCTTTTGTAAGGGCACCAGTTCTAAGGGATGCTCTACCCTATGACTTTAGTTAACCCTTGATCACCTCCTTAAAAGCCCTATCTCCAATACAGTAACATGGGCGGTTAGGGTTTCAACATATAAATAGGGGGAGGCATAATTCAATCTACAGCTTAATATTTTTCCTCAAACATTAAGAAATACACCCTTCTTATAAATACCCAACATAGAATACTGAAAGTAATACTTTTTTGTTATTGTTTCTGTTAATCCTCACTGGAGGATTATTTTTTCCATTGATTTTTTAAAAATATATTTTTATTGATTTCAGAGAGGAAGGGAGAGAGAGAAACATCAATGATGAGAGAGAATCATTGATTGGCTGCCTCCTGCACACCCCCTACTGGGGATCGAGCATGCAACCTGGGCATGTGCCCTTGACCAGAATCAAACCTGGGACCCTTCAGTCCATAGGCCGACGCTCTATCCAGTGAGCCAAACCATCAGGGCTTTCCATTGATTTTCAGAGAGTGTGGAAAAGAGGAAGGGAGAGAGGGAGGGAAACATCAATGTGAGAGAGACACACTGACTGGTTGCCTCAGGCACATGCCCCCACCTGGGCCAGGAATCAAACCTGCAATCCTTGGGTGGTTGGGCCAACACTCTAACCACTGAGAAACACCAGCCAGGGCTTGACAGTAATACTTTTAACTGTTATGTATAACTATTTAGTTCTCAAAATATTTTCACAGAGTAAACTAAGCAAACATCCTGGTTTCACAGATAAAGGCACATATCAAGCTTAGAGATACTAATTTGTCCAAGAATACTCTAACTAGTAAGTAAAGAAGCTAGGACTAGAACCCAGATCTGAATCCTAGTCCAATGATCTTTACAAAGCTCTTAATCTTGTCATATGCACTTAAGCGATAGGAATTTTATTTCACCTACTAGTAATGTTCTGAACAACAGAAGCAGCTTGGGTGTCAGTAAAGGGAAGGGCAAAGAGCAAAAGCAAAATGAAATGAACAAGAACATTAGCTTGGAGGTGAACAAGCTTAAGTAGTCAGCAGGCCCAATAGGGAAATACAACACAAGGCTAGAGAAATCCTATAGGCCCTTGGGGAATTTAGACTTCCTGAGGCTAAAGGGGAACCACTGAAGCATTTTTAGGAAGATAAGACAAGGCCAGTTTTGGGCTCTAGAAAGATCACTTCAGCTGCAGTTTTATAAAGTGGATTGGAAAATACAGAGAAGACAAAAATGGAGACAGGAAATCTGTTTTAATATGTACTCTGTACCACACACAAGAAAGGCAACTTTATGTTAAAAATTCCCACTTTAACATGGGGGGGAGGGGGGGGGTGATGAGCTCAAGTACCTTGCCCAAAGGAAAGGCATGGTATTTCCACTATGCCACACTTCATCCCAGTCTGTAATCCTAAGAGTTAACAAAGTATAGTTCTAATGTGTCAGAGTGAAACTACTAAAGTATTTTCCCTAAGATAAACCACTCCAAGTCATCATTATCTAATTGGTGTATCACATGAATTTTTTTAACAGAAAAAAAAGTTTTATTTATATATACAACATGCATATATGTGGGAAAACTGGAGTAACTCAAAGGAGTGGTTATACTTTAAGGCTTATACACCATCTTAACATAAGGGCAACAAATTGGGGAGAATTGATTAGACAAAAGAAAGGGGGAGTTAAATTGTGTAGTAAATTGTGGCAAGGAAACTAGGAACTGCATGGTAGAAAAGGGTTATTTAGTAAGGTGTGTTAAATGTACCACATGAATTTGTAATTAACCAAAAGGGAAAGACAATAGAGAAAGCTTTCTCAGGATAGCTGAGAATGTTTCTGTAAATTACTTTTTTTTTAATGTATTAATTGATTTGAGAGAGAAGAGAGAGAGAAACATCAATTTGTTGTTCCATTTGTTTATGCATTCATTGGTTGATTCTCATATGTGCCCTGAGTGGAAATTGAACCCGAAATTTTGGCATATCAGGAAGATGCTCTATAAGAATGTTTTTGATCTACAAAACAACTAATACTCTATGGACAGATTCTATAAATAAAACAAAACTTAAATATGTAACATTTTTTTATGGTATTCCTCACCAAAGTAACAAACTCACATCCTTAATTCAAACCCAAATAAGTGTGCTTTGCCAGGAAATTACTTAAGGAATGCAGTATAATGCTTCGTTTCACAAACTGCAAGGTAGTGGTAATTAATACTTTCACAATGAGCATAACCCTTAATTAACTGACTTGAGGAAAACAAAGTACTTCTGCTAAAAAAAAAAAAAAGTCCTATAAATACCAACAAAAGTATCTTGTCCTACCATTGACTTCCTCACACAGCTTACAATACAGTCTCACAAAATCAATCTTAGCTGTCTCAATCCTAGTGATTCATTAACCATATTTTGCAAACAAAACAATCGGAGCCAGTATGTTACTTTCTGATAAACTACATTTTCCTAATTTCTTAATCTGTTACATGAAAGCAAAGGACTCACAAAAGTATAAGAATCAATTAATAAATTTTTATTGAAATTCTAAATTACAGCTATTCCAAAATAATCTAAGATGCAGAGTCATTCTCACAGCTCTTTAAAAAAAAAAAAAACACCTGAGCCCTAGCTGGTTTGACTCAGGGGATAGAGCATTGGCCTAGGGCAGTGGTTCTCAACCTTCCTAATGCCATGACCCTTTAATACAGTTCCTCATGTTGTGATGACCCCCAATTTCATTGTTACAAATTGAACATAATTAAAGCATAGTGATTAATCACAAAAACAATATGTAATTATATTTGTGTTTTCCGATGTTCTTAGGCGACCCCTGTGAAAGGGTCATTCGACCCCCAACGAGGTCGTGACCCACAGGTTGAGAACGGCTGGCCTAGGGACTGAAGGGCCCTGGGTTTGATTCTAGTCAGGGGCACATGCCTGGGTTGTGGGCTCGATCCCCAGTATGGGGCGTGCAGATTGGTGATTCTCTCTCACCACCGATGTTTCAATCTCTCTCCTTCTCCCTTTCTCTCTAAAATCAATAAAAATATATATTTTTTTAAAATCTGAGATGTGAACAGAGTGATATTCTGTTCATACACATAGTTATAAAGTAGAAAGAAACAAGAGAGCCCTAACTGGTTTGGCTCAGTGGATAGAGCATTGGCCTTCGGACTGAAGGGTCCCAGGTTCGATTCCGGTCAAGGGCATGTACCTTGGTTGCGGGCACATCTCCAGTAGGAGGTGTGCAGGAGGCAGGTGATCGATGTTTCTCTCTCAATGATGTTTCTAACTCTCTATCCCTCTCCCTTCCTCTCTGTAAAAAATCAATAAAATATTTTTTTTAAAAAAGAAGAAAGAAAGAAACAAGAGGGAAAATACTTTATTAATAAATTACCACATACTGAATCCAAACCAAATAATTTAACCAAGAAGAAATCTAAATACCAGTTAGCAGCAGTTCTCAACTTGTGGGTCGCGACCCTTTCACAGGGGTCGCCTAAGACCATCGGAAAGCACATATATAATTACATATTGTTTTTGTGATTAATCACTATGCTTTATGTTCAATTTGTAACAATGAAATTGGGGGGCACCACAACATGAGGAACTGTATTAAAGGGTCGCGGCATTAGGAAGGTTGAGAACCACTGAAAGGAATACAACAGCATTAAAAAGAAAACCATCTACCAAAGTATGTACAAGACCTATTTAAGAAATATTACAAAACTCTGGTGAGCAAAATAAACAACTAGCCCAACCAACGTGGCTCAGTGGTTGAGCACTGACCTATAAACTAGGAAGTCCTGGGTTCAATTCTGGTTAAGAGCACATACTTCGTTACAAGCTCAATCCCCAGCCCTGGTCAAGGCGCATGCGAGGGGAAACCAATCAGATACACTGATGTTCCTCTCTTTTTTTCCCCTCCCTTCCAACTCTCTCTAAAAATCAATGGAAAAATATCCTCAGGTGAGGATTAACAAAAATAAAAATTCTTTCCCTCACTTCATGCCAAGATCGCCACTTCCACCAATAACAAACACATTGCTTAAAACTTTCAATGTTTTCTTAT